AACGAATTGCTGCGATTAAGATGCTTCTAGATGCATCCCTCCTGCTAACACTGAGTAGGAACTTGCCTTGCGGCCCAATCACATGGTCATGTGCAACCAGTTTGGGGATTTTGTTTCGGTCGGTTCTAGAACAGGGAGAATATTTCTCGCCAGCGTAGCAGAATCCGTGTCGCGCATGCTCCTCTGCATGTGTTGGCAAAGGGATCTCGTCGATCATCGACGTGGATTATAAGCCGCCTCACAAGCGGGGTCTTTATTGGTGGCCCAATTGTGCACCCTTTCTTAACTCGTTTCGTAAATCTTTCTCCCTCTCGCCTGGTTGCGAAAGCCATGGCTAATTCGCCAGGCACACACTTTCTCCTTAGACGCCCTCCTAGAGCCTCGTTTGGAGTTACTGATGACGATTGGTTTAGCCGTACGGCACCTGAGCCACCACTACCACTAGTGTCGCTTGCACCCCCTGCCCCTCCTGCTCCTCCAGCGCCTCCTGCTCCTCTTGCTCCTCTGAATCCGCCAGCTCCATCCGCGGGCAGCAATCAACTCGTTCTCACGCTCTTATTGCCAAGCGTCTCCGCGTTCGATGAATTCGTCTTGGAACCCGAGTCAAGTAAGGTTCCTGATCAGTATGAGGACACACTGGCACGACGTTGGGGCAAGCTCGTAAACTGGCCGTAGGACAAGGCAGTCATCGACGCAGAGGACGATGTTGGCACAGGCGAGTATTGGTCGCGCGATGGCTTACTTGGGAAACTACCGATTCCACTTTACCAACCGTCTTACAAAAGCGTCCCCACCCCACTACTGAGAATCGTGACTCCCGCCCCCCTTCTCCTAGGAACAACCCGACACAGAGAAAGTGACATGCGTACACGTCACAAGAAAAAATCAAGTGGCTTGTGCGTCTGGAGGCCATGAAGGTGGAGAGCGAGGTGTCACAAGAGTTGGGCATCCACCGCAAGTAACTGGGGGAGTGGAAGAAGAGCGTGTCAGAATATTATCTTATTGTTCTAGCCTGTAGTGGGGTGCTCTATAGCGAGTACAACCCTTCTAGGGTTTGCTATTTGTATCCTCATTCTTGCTAGTTCAATCCTCTTTCTTTCTTCTAATTTTGACATGCTATCAGAGCAGGTCGATCCCCTTGGATCGATCCTGTGGGTGGGTTACCACCTCGCTTCCGCTGCTACTTTTTCCTCCCGCCGTGCGCCCCGAGGCGCGCGGCGGTTTTCTGCCCGCCGTGCGCCCCGAGGCGCGCGGCGGTTCATTGCCCGCTGTGTGCCCCGAGGCGCGCGGCGGGCTTCTCCCCTACGTCGCGGCCCCGCCCCGATCGTCGCGGCCCCGCCCCTTGACGCGGCCCCGCTCTACGTCGCGGCCCCGCCCCAGCCCGTCGCCGCCCGTGCGCCTGCCCGGCTCGGCCCCGCCCTTCGTCGCGGCCCCGCCCCGGCCCGTCGCCGCCCGTGCGCCTGCCCGACTCGGCCCCGCCCTACCTTCGCGGCCCCGCCCAACGTTGCGGCCCCGCCCTATGTCGCGGCCCCGCCCTACGTCGCGGCCCCGCCCTATGTCGCGGCCCCGCCCTACGTCGCGGCCCCGCCCTATGTCGCGGCCCCGCCCCGACCGTCGCGGCCCCGCCCCTCGTCGCGGCCCCGGCCCCGTCCCCCCCCCCCCTTTTCTCCCCTCCCCCCCCAATTCCCGTCGCCCGTCGCGGCTCCTTCGGGGAATGGGGGTGGCCAGTGTACTTTCCTCCCTTTGCTCCTCCTCCTCCTTCGTCTCCCACTGCTGCAGCTGTCGCTGAGGGGGGTGGTTGTGTGGGAGACTGGGTTTAGGGTTTTAGGGGGGTGCGTGGGAGTAGAGCTAGTGGTTTAGCAGTGTGTGTGTATCAGGGGGGTGGGACTGTGTGCGGGAGGATGAGCGGAGGTTGCCAGTTTGTCGTCAGCAGCACCTGTAGTCCGGGGCGCTGTCCCGGTAGCCCAGTCGTAGCCAGCTGTGCCAGCCGCCCGTGGGTCCGTTGCCCGTCCGCCGCTATTTGAGCCGCGGGGCCTGTTACTCCTGTAGTCCGGGCGTTGTCCGGTAGCCGCTGTGCCAGTCTGCCTCTTGTTGCCCGTGTGTCTGCAGCTTCAGCCGTCGCCTCCTGTCTCCTCTCCCCTCACTCTCCCTCCTCCTCCTCACTTGCCCGTTGTGACTACCACTAGCTTTGCTTATAATTGTAAACTCTAAACTATTTCTTCTTGAACTTGTGCTCAGAATGTGTGGTGACATTGTGATCCACCCTGAGCTTGTTTTGCCTTGCCTGCTCTGCTGATTACACCCCACTTTGGCTATGGGGGTGTGTTAGAATATTATCTTATTGTTCTAGCCTGTAGTGGGGTGCTCTATAGCGAGTACAACCCTTCTAGGGTTTGCTATTTGTATCCTCATTCTTGCTAGTTCAATCCTCTTTCTTTCTTCTAATTTTGACAGAGCGCAGCGCTACTCAAAGGCGCTCATGCCGTATGGATGGGTTTACACAGGCAGGGCAGATCCTCATGGTATCATGACACGAAGCTCAAGCTATACTCCAACCTTATCATTTTTTGGCGCAAAGGTATCGGCGTGTCTATCGGTAGATTACACAGATGGTCCCGGGAGATGATGAAGGAGCTGCACCCAGAGGTGGCGTGGAAGGGGTCGCAACGGTGGTCATAGCAATTTCGGCGACAGTGTAATTTGAGCGTCTTCGCCGAGACGGAAGTCATGCAGGAGCTTTCCTATCGTAAGTGGCCTTCTTCATCTGACTTCACCACTATCGTATTATATACAATTTTGTTTGATTTTGATGTTTTTTTATTCATTTAATAATTTGTCTTTTATGCCCGTTGTGTGCTCTTATCCATCCCCATTTGAAGATTGTGAGGAGCAGGTGAAAGGCTTTTGGCCTTTTGTCCAAGGCAAGCGCCGGGAATACGACATCGACTTGCGGTGGATAATCGACGCCGACCAGGCACCCCTATGGCTTGAGATGCATGCAGACTGCAACGTTGAAAAATTCGGGTCTACATCGGTGACAATCAGAGGCGGGAAATATCTATAAGAACACGTTACGGCCATGCTGGCGTGCACAGCGACGGGCAAGAAACAGAAACCGTGGGTGTTTTTCAAGTAAGCCCGAGTTCCAGAGGGTGATTTCCCATCAAGTGAGCAGCATCTGTTTGTGTATGGCGTTTCTTGTTGTTGCAAATAGATGTCTGCATTTATTTTTTACGTAACCACGGTGCGCTTTGCATCACTAAGGCGTTCAGCCCAATGGCTGGATCGATGCCAAGGCGTTATCCACTGGCTCGACGAGGGCTTGAAACCATTCATCAAGCCGAGGTTTGGAGTGCACGTACGGAGCGCAAAGCTGGTCCGCGATTCATATCGAAGACATCTCGTGGCGGAGGTGAAGCAGAAATTCGCCAATATGAAGATCGTGCCGGCAGTCATCCCTGAAGGCTGCATGGCGGAGGCGCAATTGTTGGATATCTATATCAACCGTTCGTTCAAGGTGAGTGTACGGTAGCAAGTCCTGGCGCGGTTCGAGTAAGAAGGCGTATACATGCCGACAACGAAATGTGAGTGTGTTGCATTGCGATTGAACTAGCATTGTTGTTCTAGTGATGCCACTAACTGCTTCCCCCATCCCTAAACCTTTGAAGGCGTTATTTGGTGGCTCAATGAGGGCTTGAAGCCCTTCATCAAGCCAAGGTTCGGAGTGAGCGCATGGAGCACGATGCTGGTCCTCAATCCGTATCGAGGACATCTCACGGCGGAAGAGTAGTAAAAGTTCACCGACATGAAGATCGTGCCGACAGTCATCCCTAGAGGGCTGCATCACAGAGATGAGTCGTTGGATGTCTCTGCCAACTGTTCGTTCCATGCGAGGGTGCACCAGCAGTACTAGGCGTGCTTCAAGTAAGAAGGCATCTGCACGCTGACAGCAAAAAGTGTATGTGTTGCACTGTTTTTGAAATAGCATTGTTGTTCCAGCGATGTCACAAACTTCTTCCCTCGTCCCTAGTCCTTTGTGCAGGGAACATCCGCAAACCACCACCTGAGTTAATCCTCATCCTGCGTTTTTTGAAGGCATGGATTTAAAGTTTAGGGATGATTTCATCTTGAGGTACAGTCGATGATACAGTGTATTGCTGTAAGTGCAGCAGGGTCAAACATGCCTTCAACTGGATTGACACATCGTGATTGTTGAGGGTGGCGGTTCCAGTCAAGCGGAACATGGTGCCACGGGAAAGATTTATTTGGTGGTTGTCGTGGGTGGGGCTTTCAGCCACGTCCAACTCACCTGCACCTCCCACCCACCACAAATTCCTTCACTTCATAGATGCTGAAAACTCAAAATTATATTGCTATTGGTGGCTAATACTGGACGCGATTCGAAGCTTGTTACCCCTTTTCATAACAAAATGTGATGATATCATGCCATTCTAAATCAAGTACAATTCGATATTTGGTTCGTACATACAAAGGGGCATGTGGAGGTTTATGTATTCTTTGCTTGACAATTGTGGGACAACGTTCTTTGTTGGGTGTGTTGTAATTGTTAGAATAGAAAATAGGCCCTCCTTCACAAGCCAGTGCTTTCAATTCACCTCATAATTACACACTTCCAACAGAAATTAAGATGTGTCTATATAAATTGCTATTTGGTTTTTCAATATTTATAAATATGTAGACCCCTCTGATTCACCATATGGCGCCCATATTAGACAAATGCTTTCCTCTTCTTCCTCAACTGCACTCCCCTTGCCTCCTCCTCCTCTTCTTTCAGTGTCTTTAGATGTTGCCTAACCATCCCATGGTCAAACGGACTATCCTCGCACCTCAGTGACCTAGTCACACCAGTGCTCCCACTCCCTACTAACACTTCTTCCCCACCCACCTCTGCCTCTGCCCTGGTGCCTCCTCTTCCTCCGCTAGCTCCTGTCACTCTTTCGTTATAAGCCACCCTCAACCTTCCTACTAACGAATCAGCACTACTCCAGGTCTGCCTTAAAGGGCAGGCACATGCATCCATAGGGGAGTTGGTTCCATAGAGGTCACATCCTCCCACCTGGTGAATTCTAGTCCTACCAAATTTGTTGAAATACTGTAGAAAGGTTATAACGTGTGTGGGTGTACACTCTGCAAGCGGAACTGGGGGCTGATGGTGCTGCAGGAACTGGTTGAATGAGTCCCAGTCACGATTCTTCTGTGTTGCGTACCGACTGCTGCCACTCACTTGTCTCTTCAGCTCTCTAGAGGTATTTTTCTGTTGGTCAACCTGAATATGCTGCTTATTATTATTATTATTATTATTCTGCCTCTGCATTTGCTGCTGCTGCTTCTGCTGCTGCTGCTGCTGCTGCTGCTGCTGCTGCTGCTGCTGCTGCTGCTGCTGCTGCTGCTGCTGCTGCTGCTGCTGCTGCTGCTGCTGCTGCTGCTGCTGCTGCTGCTGCTGCTGCTGCTGCTGCTGCTGCTGCTGCTGCTGCTGCTGCTCCTCCTCCTCCTCCTCCTCCTCCTCCTCCTCCTCCTCCTCCTCCTCCTCCTGCTGCTGCTCCTCCTCCTGCTGCTCCTCCTGCTGCTCCTCTTGCTGCCGCCGCTGTTGTTGTCGTTGCTGCTGCTGCCCCTGCTGTTGCTGTTTCTTCTTCTTCTGCTGCTGATGTTGCGGCTCAGTATGCTGCTGCTGCTGCTGCAGATGCACAACCAGCTCCGATTGCTCTGCCTGCAAGTCGCTCCTCAGAACCACCCTGCCTCCTCCATCCAGCCTCCAATCGCTCATGCGGATCGAAGCAACAGTGGAGTAGGGTGCACTAGAATACGGCACTCTAGGTGCAGGTACATCCGAGGAAGGTACATCGGGAGAAGGTACTGTGCAATCGGGCACAGAAGGAGAAGGAACAACGTCTGCTGATGATGATCTTGGCAGGTTCGGCTGAGAAGGGAGTGGATCGGAGAAGGAAGCGTGAGGGAACCGTGCATTGGGTGCTTGAGAAGGTTGATGTGAAGGAGAGTTATGAGGTGAGGTTTGAGAATACAAGAGAGAGGGCTCCGCAGACAAGGACCTGGGGTGAGGCCAGTGATAGGACGTGGGATGGAGGGTGGGTGTGGGTTGGGTCTGGATGGTTTGGGGCAGGTGGGGTTGGATCTGGATGGTTTGAGGTTGGTGGGGTTGGATCTGGATGGTTTGAGGTTGGTGGGGTTGGATCTGGATGGTTTGAGGTTGGTGGGGTTGGGCCTGGATGGGTTGGGGCCGATGGAGAACCCTGATAGATTTGCTTGTGACACCCACTGAGGGTGGGGTGTGGGCTGAATTCCCTAAAGGGAAGGTAGATGGAATAGGAACCGGTGGGGCCAAGGGATTCAGCCCATGCGGCACGGTTGCTGCTGCGGGTGACTGGATGCGCTGTGCTACAGCTGGAGATGGGTCTGCTTGCTCCCCAGCACCTGCCAAGAACAGGGTTTGGCTGGTTGCTGCTGCGGGTGACTGGATGCGCTGTGCTACAGCTGGAGATGGGTCTGTTGGGCGCCCAGCACCTGCCAAAAACTGAATCTGGCTGTTCGCTACTGTGGGTGGTGGGATGCTCAGTGGTACATCTGGTGCCTCTTGACCTGATACAGGGGGTGGCTCTTGAGTCGCTACAGCTGATGTCAAGTGATCTCCTACAGCTGCTGGCTCTTGTCCTGCTACAACCAGGGGCTTGCTAGCTGCTACAGCTGATGTCAATTGAGCTGCTACAGCTGATGTCAATTGAGCTGCTACAGACGGGAGACCACCACAAACTGGCATGGACAGTGTTCTGGTCAATCCAGCATCGAATGTATCAGCAGCAGCAATGGATGTAGCAGCAGGAGGAAAAAGAGGAGGCGGTGTTGTGTCACTACCACCTGTAGCTGCTACATCTGCACCTGATACTTCAAGAAATCTGAATAGGAGTGCCGGGCTACTGCTGCTGCTGCTGCTGCTGCTGTTGCTGCTGCTTCCGTCAATGGAGCCTCGGCTTCTGCTTCCACTCCCCCTCTCACTCCCCCTTTCACTTCCCTTCTCACTCCCCCTCTCACTCCCACTCTCACCATCACTCCCGCACACACTCGTACTTGCCTCCTGAACCCTGTTCCTACCGTCTCCACTGCTCCCTGCCCTACTCCCCATCCCACCACCTCTCTTATTCCCTCGTTCCCCTCTGCTTGTGCTCGCGCATTCCATCCCACCCCTATGAAATCCCAGTTCATGCACTTGACCATCCATGTGCGCTGCAGGGGATAACCCTTGCCCCGTGAATGTGCTGTGCTCATGCACTGGAGGATGTTCTGCTGACGTGGCCAGGATCCCAGGCCTGTCCATCCGCAGGCTCGGCGCCGTGCTGCTTCTGCCTCGGATGGTGGAGGAACGGGGTGCAAGCATCATCCTTAGCTCCAGCATGGAGTTACTGGGGGGCATGCTGCTGCTGTTGTTGTGGGTGAATCTGCTGCTGCGAGCCATGCTGCTGCTGCTGTGGGTGAATCTGCTGTGTGCCACGCTGATTCTGCTGCTGCCTGGTGTGTCGCGA